CTATACTTGAGTTAACACCATTTTTTTCTATGCATCCCTCTTTTGGTCCCATATTTTGGTGCTTTTTCTTATGCTTTCCCCAAATGTTGACAATAACAGACTTAGCACTAGAATTCAAGATTCCTTAAGCACTTATCAATCTAACTCCTTTGACATTTAACATAGTTTATGTGATATAAATATATTATCTAAGCATTTTATGCATCAATATATTAATTTATACATCAATATTATGATGTGTTAATATTAACATAATTTAGCTCTCTTAAAATTATCTATATAAGAAAACTGTCTATCCCTCCCAATTAAACCACATCTCTGGAGACTGTCCCTTGAGATAGTAAATATACAAGAATTGTTCCTGCTGTTGAGCCACAAGACCTCCATCAACCTTAACTAGGAAGCCATTTTGTTAGATTGTTTCTGATTTGCCTAAAAGATAAATTGACACTTGATACTGAAAGCAACTATTGGTTAATCCATAAATGTAAACAAGAAGCTAATTAAGAGCCTAGTGCACTCTTCCTAATGAGAGTCCCTTGGGATGGAACCAGAAGCATTCCAGCTCAGATAAAGACCTCCTCTCATGATTAAACAGATTCATTGATTTGTAGTTTTTCAAAGGCTAAATTGACTTCAACTCAGTCTTGATTCAACTTACAAACTAGTCTGAAACATACTATCATGAATATTAATATGGTTATCTGACATTTGATAGTCTATATAAAAAAACGTGGTTTTATTTCCTAGGAAAGACTGTGCATTTTAAAAATAAGTTTTAAATGAAGCTGCTAAAGAGAATTTCTTTCTAATTAGTGTCATTTGTCACTTCTTCCTCCTGTAACAAGAACCTTCAAAAGCTGTAGAAATAGCCAGCAATTGGGAGGTGGTATCAAGAAGATCAAGAGTTCAAGACTAGCCTGAACTAATTGAGTCGCTGTCTAAAAACAGCCAACCAAAGAAAAGAGAGAAAATGTTTAGATGGTGTGTTTCTGTGTGCCAGAGGGAAGAAGTCACCTACCTCTACCTCTCTAGCCTTTTACCTAGGATAGTAAATTAAGTCAATATAAAGTTGTCAGACTAATGTAGGAAGTTCTTGGTTTTGATACTCTTCTTGGTTTCCTTCCAGTCAATAATATCACCCCCATTATTTGAAAGGTCCTTCTCCATCTCCCAGATCACCAAAAGCCCAGAAGTTAAAACAGTAAACAATTCCGCTGCACGGTGCCTTCCTGGACCTGTCTAACCAAATGCAAACTTTTGTTTGGGCATTTTAACCACACCACAAGCATTCCTACTTAGATTAAAACATGAGTCTCCTTGATCTCTAGACATGCCTAGACATGACCAGCAATGAGATGCAGTGAGACCGTGGAGTTTCTCTAGTAACTGCAGCGGAATCAACAGCGGCCCTAGGAATAAGCATTCTTTTCTGATGTTGTTTTCTCACAGAGCGAGGGCACTCACTTTTCTTTAAACCAGCATTTTACTTTTTATCTTCGAAGAAAATTTTACAGTCTAAATTTCAAGACAGCTAATGTGACTATAGCTTTGGATGGTAGCAATCAAACCCAGGTAAGATACTTAAGATGCAACTAATAATCAGAGGGGAAAACACATCAGCTAGGTGGAAGCATTAAGCATAGAGGAAGATAATGGAAATGATTTTGTAATGACGTCCTCGTAAAATGTATACCTCTTTATGGTGTTAATGGAATGGAGGCTATTTCTACTGGTTTTATTTATATTTGAACGTTTAAATAACTTTTTGCAACATACACTATCATGCCTTTCCCCAATACAGGAAGAATGAATACAAAATATAGTTGTTTATGAATGATGGGTTTTTTTTTTTTTTTTTGTAAGTTAGTTTTACAATTATCTGGCATTTTCTACTTCATTTTGATTCCTTTCACTTTTAGGGGTTCATAAAACAAGCTATGCTTTTGAAGAAAAAAATATTCTGTCTTTCGTTTTCAAAGATAATGTTAAAATATATACAAGTTTATTCTTGGGAAGTTCTTGGGTTTTACTGGTTTGCATTTGGAATTTGTGTTGAGTATGTATTCATGTAATTAGTGGCATCTATGAGACCATTTACTGGGCTTAGGGATCAGTGTATAGCTAAGAAATTTTACTTTGTAGGCTGCAAGACTTTTGGATCAATACATGTGGTTATTATTATACAATGTACATGAAAACCAAAATCAGGGAGGGGGGCACTTCTCACTGAATTCCACAAAGTTTGCAGTCAGAGGATATTATATACCCCTCTGGGATCATTAAAAGGAAAGGAGAAGGAAGAGTAGCTCAAAGGGAAGAATTATTAGTGAAGATGGCACAGAAATGCTGTCACTGCCCCCTCAGCGCCTTTTATTCCAAACATACACAAGCACACGTCTGTCATCAGATGTGAGACAGTGAGAGAAGGAAAAATGGAACCATCACAGGGCATTGCTTCTCGGGCTTCCACAGACCTCTTAATGTCCCAGTCCACCCTCACTTCAAGCATCTAGGTGAAATCTCACCTCCTCCATGACTGCTATATGTCCTCTCTTGCTGACACCTCCCGTCCCCACCCCCGCCTGCTTCTTTCTATTAGTAAAACCTGTGGTTTGGCGACTTCATGGTCTCTGGAACAGAAAATAATGTGTGTTCACATTCTGTCACTACCGGGACTGTCTGATGGATGGATAGTAGTGCTAAATTCGTACGGAATACTGAAATAAAACAGGAGCCCGGAGCAGGAATAGATTTCTTCAATTATTACCATGAGATCACAAATACTGATTTTGATCTTAAAACGGCCACACTTTGACCTATCAACAAGGCGGTTGGTTCAATGTTTGACTAAAAGTGGCCCTCACCTCCCTGCAGGGCCCTGGAAGAGGTCATCCTAAGAAAGACCCTAAGAGGTGAACCTAAGGGGAGTCCAGGCCTGCTCCTGCAGGAAGGGTCCAGCTGAGAGGCCTGGGAAGCTGTTTCTGAGAATGGGCATGAACATTGAGGCGCCTGGGGGGGCTTCTTGGGCAATAGGAGAGGAGATATGGATGGAGGTCTTTGCGCTTCCTTCTTCAGTGCAGGAGTAACTCAAGAATCTCGGTGTCACCCATCTCCCAGGCCACTTCCCAGGAGGCTCTGCCGGAACCCGCCCATTGCCCCTTCTGGTAGCTTCTGCCGCCCCTCCCCCACTCGCCCCGCCCCCTCGGCCTCGGGGTTCCAAGGGCGGTTGGTCGCAGAGCCACGGTCACTCGGCCAGTAGGAGCTGCGGGGCGCGCGGGGTGGACAGAGCCGGCTCTAGAGTTGGGGCTGGAAGCCAAGGAGAAGTTGGCGGAGGCGGGTCAGACCCGGGAAGCAGGAGTCCGGCCCGATGCCCAGGGGCCGGGGGCGGAGCGGGAGGGTCTCGGGGGACGGCGGGGACAGGGGGCCGGGCGCCCGGGAGTCACCTGGGGTCGCGCGCGGCCCTGCAGGGTGTGGAGGGGCCCCGGAAGCCTGAGGCACCTCTGGCCCCGCCACCCTGGGCTGTGGGCCGCGGCGAAGGGGGGCGAGGGGCCCCTCGGGAGCTGCAGCAGCGGGCGTCCGGTGCTCGGTTTGTAGGCAGTGTAATTAGCTGATTGTACTGCGGCGCTGACAATCACTAACTCCACTGCCATCAAAACAAGGCACAGCATCACCCGCCGCCCGCGGGAGGAGAAGCAGGACGCTGCAGCCCCGCTGACTCCGCAGAAAGCGGGCGCCGGAGCCAGGATGCGTCAGCGAGGGGCCCCGAGCACGAGGTCTAAGTGCACGTAATCCTGGGAGACCAGCGGCCTCGCCGAGGGACCGTTTAGCTACCTGTGTCTAGGGCAAAGCGTGGTTCAGTGGTGTGCAAAGAGAGTCGGTGGACACCGGCCTTAACATTAAAAAAAAAAAAAAAATGCCCGGAGTAGCTCCCCGCCCCCACCCCTCAGAAGAGTTCCTGCTGCGCGCTGTGATTCACCGACCGGTTTCCACTTCTGAGAGAGCGGATCACCAAGGCAGCAGAGCCAAGCGCAGCCTGGCTGATGATGCGCTGGTCCCGAGCAACGTCGGAGAGCACCAAAGGCTGCAGGCTTTTTCCTGTGAGTCTGGTTACTAGGCAGTGTAGTTAGCTGATTGCTGATAGTACCAATCACTAACCACACGGCCAGGTAAAGAGACTGAGAGTCTTCGGACCTGAGCCTCGTGCGCATCGTCCATTTGGTGAGGACAGAGCCCTAGGGGAGTACTCACGCCGCCTATTTACCCATTGAAGGACACAAACCTGTTACTTAAGCGTGTCAGTGTGTGTGTGCGTTTCGATGATTTTTAGATAGATTGGAAAACAGAAATTATCCCTTAGCTGATTTGATCATCATATTGACTTGTGATTATAAACCTTTGGACTTTGCCTGATACTATATTATCAATAACACTGTGAAAAATAAAGCGCCACGAAAGTCTCAACTATCGATTTTATCCTGTGTCACTTTCCTTTCTCAAAACTGGCTTTAGGGTGTCCATCTCAGCTCCGGTCAGCCCCTGAAGTAATTAAATGGTCAGTTCCTATATAGGCACTCTGGGGGAAAGGCTCATACATGCCCGAGAACCTGCTTGTAAGGGCACATAACATGTTTTGGTAAGTTTTCTCGGGGCACGGGGTGGGGGGAAGCGCTCAGCCTGATTAACGAGGTCTATTTTTTAAGATGGTAACAGTTGCCCTCTAGGCAACTTTTTCTAATTAGTGAACACCACTTAAACCCAGCTTGTTTCCTCAGACTTGTAATAAAAGATTTGGGAGGTTTTAAGTCACAAAAGCTGTCTCCATGGGTACCTCTTGGCCCAGTTCTGGACTAAGACGTTGCGCCGCCTGGATGTATCCACGCAGACCTGAGAACTTACGCGGGTTGGGGTGCGGAGCCTTGGCAGTCTTGTCCAGAAGAGGGAGGAGCTCTTTAAAGTTCACTTTATTGGGCTGTTTGGGAGAGGAGGGGACGCTGGTTTAGGATCTAAGAGACCCTGACTGTGCACATCACAAAGTTGAGGCTTTGACTCTTAAGGCTTGACCGGCCCTCGACAGAAGCTGTGACCTCGACAGAAGCCAGCTGCAGCTGAGGCACAAGCCCTCGAGGAGCCGAAGGTCCTACGGAAGAAATCCAACCTTTCCCGTGACAGTTACCAACCCGACGGTTCTCCAGTGGGGGCGGGGCCACACAGCTAAAGGAAGCGTCCTGAGTCTCCATGGAAACTGGGCCCAGAGGCAGTCCGAGCTTGGAGAAGGAATCCCACGAAATCTGCCCCCCTGGATTACTGGTGTTCAGCGGCTGCTCTGAGAAGGATGCCAACTTGGCTAAGCAGTTTTGGCTCGGGGCGTCCATGTATCCCCCGGCCGAATCTCAGCTGGTGCTGCCCCGAGGCAGCAGTCAGCGGCTACCGGTGGCGAAGTCGTCTAAATCCCTGAGTGGTGAGTAGCGAGGCTGCCTCCTAGGAGAAACTGCCCAGCCTAATTGTAAAAGAATCAACTGTCTGAGAGATACAAACAAGCAGCCATGGGTATATGCAAATACATACATGAATAGTTCTCAAATGGCCACAGTTCTCCACTGCAAAGAATCTTGTTACATATAAAAAAGTCCTTTACATGAAGGCTTCTTTGGCAAATAGGATTAATCTGAAATTGTGTTTCCTTAAATAAGGAAAAAAACATTTACATAACATTTAGTTCAAACTTAAAAGCCCAAGAAAAAGTTGGAGGCAGAGTCAAATTTAGAACCCGACTGAGAAGCCTTTGGCCAAGAATGTATAAAGTGTTCTTATTCAATATTAATAGGTATAGAAACTTCAAATTTCATTAATGTGTCGGCTTTTCCAATAACTTACTTTCCATTTCTATTTCTTAGAGAAATATTCTGGCCAGGCCTTTCCCTTTCATCATAACAGTAAGTACCAGGTTCTGGTGCCCTTCAATCCTCCCCGTGTTATTCCGAGGATTTCGAGAACTGTAAAGATTGACTTCGTTGAACGACTAGGTCGCATACTCCTCCCTTTCCTCGGGGCGCACACCACTCATCCAGAAGATAACTTTCTGTAACATGTGACGAAAATGTGGATTTGCACCTCAGATCCCTCAGGCACTTCCTCTTTAGAGACTGTTTCTTACCCCCACTCGTGCTTACTCATCATCTAAAGGGATAAGGGGTTTTCTGATGTAGATAATTTATGAAACCGGTTAGAAAGTTTCAAGACAGGATGTATTTGTGTCCCTTCCTACTCTTATTTTCCCATATCCAGTTTTAAGTCAGTATGATAAGAATTACGATAAAGTTGTTTCTCATTAAATATGACTTTATTTTCTCTAGAGGAGACAACTGCCTTTGATATAATCCAAACGATTGAGGAATCTGAAGAGAAAGCAAATTATCTCGAAAAGGTGGGCCAGTGTCTCATTCTTCTGGTTTTCATTATAGTCCTACATAATTTTGATAAATATTGTTTGTTTATTGGTGCTGTGGACATTTTACTTTTAATCAAATGCAAGTAAAACGTGTTACTTCTGCTAGTTCAGCCTTGAAAAGCTTTTGTTAGAAATTTAATTAAAAATTTAGAAATCTGGGGCTAGGGAGATGGCTCAGTAGTTAAGGATACTCACTGCTCTTCAGAAGGTCCTGAGTCCAATTCCCAGCACCCACTTGGCAGCTCATAACTGTCTGATACTGTTTTCTGGTGTGCAGATGTACACACGGACAAAGCACCATATACATAAAAAATAAATAAATGTTAAAAAATTTTAAATTCTTGGGGCTGGAAAGGTGGCTCAGTTGTTAAGACCACTTGTTCTCTCAGAGGACTCAAGTTTCATTCCACTGCCCATGGCAGCTGGCTCATTTACTGGCTGTAACTCCAACTCCAGAGGATCTGATACCTTTTTCTGGCCTCTGGATATGCAGGAATGCTCGCACACACACACAAACCCACAGGCCTAGTAGCTAGTAGCACAGATCTCTATTTCCAGCTTACAGAGAAATGGAAGCAAGAGGAGGGAAGTTCAAAGGGAAGTGTTGGGAAAGTTATCAAGATTAGCTGCCTGCTAGGTAAGCATGGGACCTGTGTTAAAATCATCTCCTGGCTTCATGCCATTGGAACTCCAAAGGGTGGAGACAGAATGTGCCTGGGGCTAGCTAGCCACCAGCCTAGCTCCAGGTTTAATGATCCTGTTTCAGGGGAAGAAGGCAGAGACTGCCCAATGTCGTCTTCTGGCCTTCACATGCAAACAGGGGCACATATCAGCATGGTGTACATATTCCCCCTCACACACCTCTCTCTCTCTCTCTCTCTCTCTCTCTCACACACACACACACACACACAAAGGTGCAAATTTAATAAACATAGAGCAAAGACACTTAAAATAATTAATCACAAATGTCAACCACATTCAGGGCTAAGCAGGGATGTAGAGTTAGTTGAAGGCCTGCTTGGAAAACTTAGTGGGACTGTTTTATAATTTTAGTAAAGTTAAAAAGAGGGATGGGGATATAGCTCAGTGGCAGAGCTCTTACCTTTCATGTGGAAGGCCCTGGGTTTGATCCCTATTGCTACAAAAAAAAAAAAAAGGAAAATCCATTCTATTAAACTGGCCACTCTCAATCTCTGCCAAAGCTCAAGGAACATCAGAAACTGTAATAACACAGGTTCATTTTTCAAAAGAGCTTTAAACTACACACAATAGTCTAAGAACAAAAATACTTTTAAAATGGGAAAATTGTTGTCTTAATAGTCAAAACCCAGTGAAGCAAAGCATGAGTCTATCGTCGGGACCTGTTTTGACTGAAAGCTGACAGTAAACACACTAGTGTCCTGAAACCTCTTTTTGGCAGCCACATGATACAACTAGAGCTTTTGACTCAGCAGCTAATATTACAATTAATAGCAACAGTTTGCTTGATTCATGGATAAAATCTATTCCAGTAACTGTTTCTCAACTATCAGATACTGAGAAACAGTTGCTGGAATAGAACTGGTCCAAAACACATTCTGAATAGAATAGTCCAAAACACATTTTGGACTAATGGGTTTAATCGCAGAACATCTTGGCAAGCTCTAAAGGAGCTACTGGGATGCCACATAAATTACGGGTCAAGTCACAATTGTTGTGACTTTTCTGGCCACAACAATTCGCTTTGAAGACTACTGATGATTATTTCAAACAAATTAAGAGATTAAAAATAATCAGCATTCTCTCTTTAGACTATTATATACCAAACCCTGCCCCAACCCCCTAAAAATATCATGTACTATATATTTATACTATAATTTTACAGATTTAAAAAAAAAGAGTGTGTGTGTGTGTGTGTGTGTGTGTGTGTGTGTGTGTGTGTGAGTGACAGAGAGAGTGCATGAATGTCAAGGTGACAGGACAAGTTTTAGGACTCAGTTCTCACCTTCCCACTTGTCGAAGGTCTTTCTTATTTCTGCTACTTGCTATTCAGCTCAGCTGACTGGTCAGTTCCCAGATGGTTCTGTCTCTGCCTCCTGTCTTGCTCTGGTCACAGAGCTCTACCACTACATCTGGCTTTCAACATGAGTTCCAGCGTCAAAGTTGCATTGCCAGGCTTGGACGGCTAGTGCCTACCTACTAAGCTATCTCCTCACCCTTTACAAAGATTATCTTTTTATTTTTAAAATCACGTGTGTGTGTGTGTGTGTGTCCTGTGGTGTGCATGTGTAGGTTAGAGGAAAACTTGTGAGAGTGGGTTCTCTCCTACCATGTGGGTCCCTGGAATCAAACACGGGTCATCAGGCTTTGCAGTAAGTACCTTTATTCACTGGACCATCTTTCTGTCCTCCTCTTTAAAAGAGGGATTTTGTTAAGCCTAATTTTCAGTAGAGCTGGAAGTATACCTCAATGGTAGACGATTTACTTGCTTAGCATGCATGAAACACCATAGATTTAATTCAATTCATGCATCACACACACAGACACACACACACAGGCATACCACAAACATGCACACACGTATGCGCACACAGTGGTAGAGTATTTACTTGCCTAACATGCATGAAACCATAGATTTAATTCAATTCATCAGGCAAAGTGGCACACACTTGTAATCCGGCACTCAGGGAGGCAGCAGCAGGCGGATCTCTGTGAGTTCAAAGCCAGCCCTGTCTACAAAGTGAGTCCAGGACAGCCAAGGCTACACAGAGAAACCCTCTCTCTCTCAAAAAAAAAAAAAATAATTCAATTCATACATCACACACACACACACACACACACACACACACACACCAGGAGTGGTGACTCACCCCTATAATTCCTACAGTTGGGAGGCTAAGGCAGAAAGAGATTAAAGAATTTGAGGTCAGCCTTAGTTACATAGTGATATCCAGGCTGTTTCTACTGCTTTGGTACTTTTGGAATTGAATTTTCCTTGTACTTCATTTTAGGAAGGGGTTAAAAATAAAGGTTAAAAGATGAACTTAATAGCCAATTTTATCAGCTGTCATCAAACAGTAAGAGTGATGTGCATTATAGGGGACTGTAATATTATAGACCAGATATAATTAATTGTAGAACAGGCTTCCATGTCTTGTGTCCTTCTTTTAATTTATTAACTACTCTGTTCCACATATTTATTGAAAGCCGGCCTAGTACATGTACTGTGTTAGATGCTGGACTACAAAGAGAGGCTGGGAGGAAGCAGTTGATGATTATGATATCATTATCTTATGATAGATATATGTGTATGATAACACAAGAATAGATTAAACTAGGCATAGTAGTACACCCTTCTAATCTCACCATGTGGGAGGTTGCAGGCAGAAGAAGAAATCCCCAATAAATTATTTAATAATGAGTGCAGGCGTGTCAAGACCTCAATGCCTCAGACCCATGGGAATAGCAAAGCCTTCCCTGGTCCTTGGCAAGGTGTTCAGAAAATGGTGGCTCACAGCTTCCTCCTCCTGGAAGTTTACAGCCTGAGACTTCTCTCCTACAGAGACCTCCCTTCCAAGATTAGATAATCCTGAGCCCTTGTTCAGGTTTATATAATAACCCTGCCTCCTCATTCAGCTGTATAAAATAACTAGGCAGAGTTTCCATACTCCCGCATCTCCTCTAGAGTGCATACTCCGTCTCATCCAAGCTTTCCTGTCTGTGCCTGGGTGTTGATCCCTTCTTCATTCCCTTCTTCATAGCTCCAGTCTTGTTTCCAGGACTCAGCTGTGTGGGCCACAGCAGTAGACAGGGGAAGGAAGTTCATGAGTTACGGTCAATCAGCTTGCACTATAAAGAATAGCCTATCTCAAAAACAAAAATACCAGGTGTGGTGGGACAGGTCCTTAATCCCTGCACTTGGGAAGCAGAGGCAGGCAGATCTCTGTAAATTCAAGACTAGCCTAGTCTACATAGTAAGTTCCAGGCTACATAGTGAGGCCCTGTATCAAAAACAGTAGGCTAAGAACTGAAGAAACCTTCCCAAACCACTGAGTTTTGAAGCTTGTTTCTTCAGCCTGCAGTATACTTTATGGTTGCCAAATGCCTTCCTCATCTACCTTCAAAGCCTGGCTCCCTTGGCATCCCCTGAAAAAGCTTTCCCAGAGGCTACCTAGAAACTAGCTAGGTGAACAGCTGCCTTCTCCGCGCTTCATGCAAAGTCAGAAACTGTCTCCCAGGGTGCTGCTTGAAGGCTCTGATCTGTACTTCCACAGTCGTCCATGCTTCCCTCTGTGTGCTGCTAGATTGTAGGCACCATAACTTTAGAGACCACGGGTTGAGTCAGAAGCCTAACTCTGCCACTTACTGCTTCTCTATCACAAATAGCAATTTAAAATATCTACCTCATAGAATTGATATAACCTACATAAAGCACCTGGCCATCCTTTACCCTCCCCTATAAAAGGTCTCATTTGCTTAATGTCTTTCTGGATTCTGAAATTCATATATTTGTTCATTAGCCCATAAACATATAATATTCATAATTAATCTAATTAATGGCTGGATGACTTCATATATAGTAATCTTTTGTTGGCATTGGAATATTTTGTTCTCCTGTTTTGGGGTCCTGGAGATTGACTCCAGGCCTGTGACACAGGACCATAGCTGAGCTATCTGCCATTCTATCAGCTGTGAAATGGATCAAGTTTAGTTATTTCCAAATATACTCATCTGGACACTTATCTAGATTGATAATCTTTTAAAAGAATACTTCCAAATGCATAGGCACACCTCCTGTCTTGTCAAGTTTTGCTTTTATCTCATGGGTCTGTCTATGAGGGGAGAGAATGTGACTGATAAATATCAAAACAATCTAGTTTTGGATACTGCTGCTTCTCTGAGTCTACAATCCCTCTCTGCACTTTTGCTACCACCATCTATAATTTGTAGATTGATGATAGAATGAAAATAGAGATGGGGTTTGCTAATAAAACATT